GGGGGGGGTCTACATGTTCGCGGGTCTCCTGGGCATGAAGGTTCCGTGGATGCGGGTGGAAGTTCTGGTGTGATTCCGGTCCGTGAATGTGGAAGGGTTGTGGCTTCAGGACCTATGCCCAGCAGCATGTTCTTCGAGACGTTCACATCGAGGGGTGGTGAAACCATGAGAGACTTCCTTTGTCGGCTGAGGGATGGAGAGCTTGGGAGTTTTCAGTGGTTGCTGGCGGGCAGTGTCCTCCGCCATGTAGAAGATTTGCCGGTGAATGGGGTGCCGCATGAAGTCATGGGTCAGTTCCCACAGGCGGTTGTGTTTGTGAAGATTCACCGCCATGGTGTTTGGAGAAAGAAACTGTTTGACAGCGACATGTCTGTTCCTCCGGCATCTTCGGGCTTGGCGTCGTGTGTGGTCACGTTGGCATGGTTGGAGGATGGAAGAAAGGTCATTAGGTCTGATGTGCGGAAAGGAAGCCACAGCATGCATTACCTCCAGCAGAAATGGACTGGATACAGCCTGCTGTTCCGTGTGACAGAGATGGTGGAACATGGAGCGAGTGCTGAAACTGGTTCGGGCTGACGAGTTGATGGACGGTGAGGAAGACATGTGTGTGGTGGTGAACATGGCACTTAGTTGGTGGTGGTCGAAGGCTCTGGATGTGGCACGAAAAGCTAGACTATGGCTAGATTCTGAGGGTGAATGCGGCCAGGAGCTGTGAGTGCTTGGTTTCCCTAGAGGGCCCGAGATTTAGACCATTGACGAAGTCAAGAGGGGCTTGAGCATTTTTTTTTTGATGTGTGAAATTTTCGATGGTGGAAATAACATCCACTATACAAGTTCTTTCGGGAATCCATATCCTGAAAGATTCAGGAGGGGAGAGCAGATTCCCTTCTGATCTCTTGGCTTGAAGTGCTTTCAAGCGATTTGGTAGTTGAAACTTGACATATGGAGCCCTTTTTGTTCGAGGAAACAGCGCGAAGGGTTTTCGCGGATCGTGATAATATTACTACTATGCGTGTGTGTGTGTGTGTGCGAAATTGAGGAGAGTCCATTGAGGGAAGAGCTCATTAGTGATTGTCGTCACTGTTGCAATTTTGAATTGCCTCCCCTCTCCTCAAGATCTTAAGACACCTGAAAACCATTCCTTTTTCAGCACATTTCAGCACCATTAAGGTTTCAGCTATAGTAGGTGTCGCTTGGCTTGGTGTAAAGGGGATTGGCCTATCGCAATACGCAAAGGCCTGTGGCTGATACGTCCAACTGCCCCCTGTCAGGCCATTGGCATTGAGCTTCTGGGAGCCAAAGCAGGTGCAAACTAATCAACAATTCCCTATCCGTCCCCAGGTCTACAGTACAAGTACCTGTGGATATGTGTGAACTTTAGAGTGCATGCCAAGAAACAACTACCATTATACAGTATCACATGATCATCATACAGGTGAGATATTCAAGTCGCTGCAGAACTCCGTGACTTTGACGACCGACCTTTGCCACTCTACAAAGTCGTCACTTCAATGTCAGCCAAATAATGTCATCCACCGGATGGCTGACTGGATCGTGTTCGTTTCTTCACCACGGCACGAAGAGGGGCAGCGTGGGTATGAGGATCTCCTCCGTGGACAGGTTGGCCGAGCGCGGCTGCGCTGGGGAATCCCGGTGAGACAGGTCATTGAGATATCCTCAGCACCGTGCACGGAACGACCTAACGACCAGTGGACCCACAGGTGTGACATGATGTGACATGTGCACTGGAGCAGCCTCCTCTAATGGGCCTCAGGTTTATATAACTTAGTGCTTGAGCTCCTGCATGTCAAACCTGCACTAAACATTAACAGCAACTCCTCTGATCACCCATCAGAGTTGTCTGTGCACTTCGGCAGTCTCATGGCTTCATAAGACTGATTTAGTCTGCTTCTGTGGAACCTCTTCACAGGGAAGCATGGATTCCCACACAAGCATGCCGCTCGTCTCTCTCTCTTTCTCTCTAAGGCGGTCGTTCGACCAACCTTTTGCCTGGAAGCAGCGCATTGCATGGCATCCTGGTGCGCCCCATGCATGGCCTCAACAGGCCCCTGACTCAACCTTGCCCTCCTTATAAAAGGCCCCACTTCACAGCAAGCATCGGACCACCATATTGGTGAACTTGCCTACGGCGATGTTGTGGTTGGTCGCCTGGACTACCCAGAGCAGGGGGGGAAAACAGAAGATCTGTCGTGGAGTGGAGGATCCTGTTGTCGAACTTGCATGTATATGTTAAACATACATTAGCCATCCTCAAGTACCATTCTCATTGTGCGGAAGGAGGTGCTGTTTGGATTATACAACTGCATTCTCGATCCAATGTCTATTAAAGTCTATTAAACCCTATCAATGGTCAGGATGAAAGGGTGATCCTGGCATGAAATCTCTCCCGTTTGAATATAGACACCGGTGCTGCTGCATATTCGTCATTCATGTGGTCAACAGCACCACTCCGATAGTCTTCCCCAGCCCAGCGCCTGCTCCACCTCCGGATTTCGCCGGGGCGTCTTGGTCTTGGGCGCAGCCCGGTCGATTTGGAAGCTAGGGGTCGACAGATCGTCGAGTTGGCGCAACAAAAACGTGATGTTGGCCTCCTGTGGGCGGGAGAATTGAGCAACTGACCCACGGCCATGAAGGCCTAGCGAAGCAAATTAAGATATCTGGGACTTCCGACTGGGGGCGTGGTGTGGGTGCCAAAATCGACCAACAGTTTGCGTTTTGAATTTACAGTATGATGTTTTATGTCTTTTTGCCTATGTTTATCTTATGTATAGCCGTTAGGGATGCCCTGCATACATGATGACCCGGGCGGTGTGAACAAATGCCAATGTTCTCCTGATGGATGGACGGTACCTTAGCCTCAGGATGTGGTGTGACTTTGCTGGTGGTCTTCAGCTCAGTGTTGCAGGTGCGACTTTGAAGCATCAGCTTGTCCTGCAGCCAGGTGGTGAGTGCCAGTGAGTGAGAGTGGCCATGAATGACTGAAAACAGCACAAATACATGTGGCGAGAAAATTACTCGGAGGTTGCATTTTCTCGCATGTACGTGCATGTAATCCAACTGTATCTTCATCTACACTCTACACCGTCCCCACCTTATACGGCCCTGCTCTTCAAATGTCTCGCAACTCATGGCTAGTGCATCCGGCTACTACACTGCACACAACAAGCGCAACAAGTTCACAGTTCGTCTGAGAGCGGGGTGTCCTGTGTACTGTGGGGCAACAAAAAGACAAAAGCCTCTGAACAGTCACGGTATATGGATTTCCACCCATCACGGCTCGGCAAAATCAGTCCGCGACTCGCCAAGGATCCGAAGACTCAGCACCGACACCGCGGAAGAGTTCCAATTCATAGCTCACCTGACCGGTGACTGCTGGAAAGGTGGAATGCTGCGACGAGCGCAGAACAAAATGACTGGAAAGACTCATGATGGATGATGGAAATCATGACACATCATGTATAGTATTTTATAGAAATCATTGGTTATATTCGATGATTATAATATATATACCATTGATTCCAAGATAGTATGTAAATAAACTTATACGAGAAGTATGTCTTCAAAAGGAGGCCTGTCTTTGAACGACGGGTTCGGCCCAGCAGGGTTTGAAGTTCGGAAGGGGCATGTCCGATCTCCCAGAAGGCATGGAATTCCTCGTGAGTCGTGAAGCATATGATTTACCCAGACACTCCATGTATGCCATATATGAATCATATATGCTTACATTGGGGTGGTCTGGGGGGTCAATGTAGGCATATATGGCATACATGGAGTGTCTGGGATACAAGATTCACCAAGTCCATCCAAGTCCAACCATAGTCAAACCTTCAGAGAACTAGCCAGGGAGTATAGGGAGCTTGCAATTGTAGGTGCACCTGATCATGAGATGCGTGCCAGATACAAGTAGATACCTAGCTGATGGCCACTAGCTGCTGAATGTCACGAACAGGGCCCCCGCAATGTAAGTTCTGCATACCCAGTGCCATCACATGCCATCTGCCCGACATCGTTCTCCCACCTCAAGCTTCCAGAAGAACTCGGTGACTTTCGTCACGGTCCTCGGGGGGGCAAACCGTCCAGCCGCAAAATCAAAGCCCCCCCGAATCCACTTTCCCGGGAGTACGGTCCAGAGTGTTGAGTCCAAGAGATATCTGCATCCTGCCTAAAAGGCACAAGCATACAGCATCATGAATCCTTCAAGTGGTCTGTTGGAAAACTCTCTCTCTCCCTCCCCTCCCTCCCTCCCCTCCCTCCCGAGTGCACACACGCAGCACTGCAGGTTGACCAACACGCGATGCATGGAGTCTTTATACATTGGGCCAGTGGGTGCTTGCAAAGGGTTCAGTGTAGGTATATTCTTTACATACCCTAATGTCGACGTAGGATTAATCACCCCCCACTTCAAGATCAACAAGGTTTGAGATTGGAGGTGTTGGAGAGCAAATCCCCCCCAATAAAGGTGATGACCCGATGATGGATGATGGTTGATGGGATTCTGTATGAACCATGAGGCCTGTGTGACGGGTACCCTTTGTGAACTTGAAATCCTTAACAGTTTAAATAAGGGAAAATGAACCAACGTTGCTATCTATAGAGATTTTTAGGGATTGTGGAAGAAAGGTTGCTTGGGAGAACGTTGGCAGCTTAGATTGCAGCTTCTAATGAACGGTTTCTAATTTAACGGATAGGTTTTGGCGTCAATGTGGAAATTATGGTTTTATATTGAGCAGCGGACAAAATTACTTGTGTAGCCAAATACCATTTGATATGATTATCGTTTTTGGTGGGGTCCATATCGTTCTCCAATGTTTCTCCAAACCGCAGTTAGCATAGCATACCGGCACATAGACAAAAACACAAAATATAACTCACAACCTCAGATTAGAGTCTTAGAGGCTTACAGTGCTTTCTGCACAGGAATGGCACAGCACTTGATTTATGCACTTGGGTTCTTGTGGCACTGGGCTGTGCAAGGATCACAACACATAAGCGGGGACCTAGTAGCTCGGCCCATGAACAAACACTAGTCACTAGTAATGTGGAGAAGTAGGTCTACGGAGTGACTTCTGTGACATTTAGGTTATCGTTTGCTTATCGTTTGGATTATCGTTTGGCAAGTTGTCTGGGGTTATCATTGGTGAAAAGTTGTGCCCATCGGTTTAGCTCAAATATGCTCAAATAAACATGCAAATGCAATAACATATTGTAACCACAAACGTCTTTGTACCCACTACAGTACGTCTTAACAAGATCATCGTTTATTATCGTTTTTGGTGGGGACCATATCGTTTTCCACAGAAACGAAGCCCTCAACATAGGTTTAGGGTCATGCCGTGACTAAATAAGTCAACCAATAATTTTGTCCGTCGCTCGTATAAATTATAAAGTTTATTGTTGGGGGCTCGAGCTGGACTTAATTAATAAGGGGAGGTTACTTAATCCTAGGTGCGCGTCCAAATACCAAGTCAAGCCTGTTCCTTTACCTCCTTGAGTATCTTGAGTAATGTTTTCGCATGACCACCTGCAGTAACATGAGGTCTTTGACCCGTCAAGATAGAGTGTCCGGGCATTGGACCTCTGTGGTTCCTTCCATTGGAAAGGTTCATTGCTGCCAGAAAGAACGACCCAGCATGACCCAGCCATCCGGAAGAATGACCCAGCCATCTCTCAAAGAGCTTCTTGCTGGTGAAGCCCATCGACATGCCAGCCACAGAGACGTCCGTGACCCGCTTCCTGGGATGATGCGGCACGAGGAAAATGCGGCCTGCGGTGTGAAGGATGGTGTGAAGGATGGTGGGCTTGGTATGAATGAGGGATAATGAGGAAAGCAGCTAGAGACTTGTGGGCTATGGGGGTAACTCTACTGCACACGCGCTTGCACATTGATTGATTCATGATTCAGCACTTCGGGTGATCTACCGCTTTGGACCCCGGTCAAGCATGAGAAAGCCAAAAAAAACTGTGCCAAAAGGGAAAGGGCGGGCCAAGTCATGAGAAGCCTTGTATAATTCTTCCAGCACCTATCAGCATCTATCAGCTAGTTATTTATTACTTTTAAGATCTTTTGTATACAGTAAGAGTGTGGAGGCTCAAGCTTCATCCAGCCCTACCATTGATTGGTCCAAATTCCACTGCTACCCTAAGACTGCCTAAGACCTGACCCAAACGGACCCCGATCTTCAGCAAAACCCACCAAAACCACACACCCAGAAACCTCAACGTGCAGCGGAAAGAGCGAAAACCATGCATGACCAAATCCTGGCTGTGGCAACGCCTGCTTCCTGGCCCAGCGGCGTGGGATCTTCCACTTCTCGCGTCTCCTCCCGCAGGTAACTACACCGCTCCTCTGCACGAAAGCGGATTGATACCTCAAGCAGCGTGAGTTCCACGCCATGCGTGGCATGGTGTGGGGGCGGCGCGGTGGGGGCGGCGGCCCACAAGTGGATGAAGTGGATGTACTGGACACACAGGGTCGGTACAGTAAAAAAAACAGGGTCGGCGTTCTGCATTGTCTTTCTCTTCACCAACAATGTGTTGTAGTTGTTCTTTGGAGTTTCAAGCGAAGCTTCTGCCCGCCTGCGAAGCTTCTGCCCACCCCTTCGCTTGCCTCAACTTTTCCTGCACTCCGCAAGATTGAGTGAACGGCCATGAATGTCTTCAGTTCAGCAGAAAATCATGTTCCAAACAGTCCAACATGATCCAACATGTTTGCCCATGAAACCATATGAAACCCATGTCCAACAAGTCTCACATATCCAAGCTTCCTGTCCAAGTCCAAGCAGCTGCACACCTTCCCTGTTTGAGACCACAAAGAGCCAACAACCGCAGCGGATCCCAGTCGTCCGCTCCCCCAAAAAATACCGGTCCTTGGTGAGGCCCAAGGAGCTAAGGACGTTCACCTGCGAAGCCAAGGTCAGCAGGGTCGCCCGTTCCACCTTGGCCCGTGGAGAGCGACAAAGAACAAATAACAAAACACAGGGCGGTAGGGTGTTAAAAAAAAAAAAGAAACTTGGGTACTCCTGGGCTTAGCTGCTTGGGTGTTGTGCTGCTTAGCTGCTAATTATTCATGGCACTTAAGATGTACAAACCGTAGGGCTGCGGTGAAAAATGCATTCTGTCCGTCGCAATGTTTTCCTGGCCGATGCGATTTCATGCTGCTGGGTCAAGGATCATATGCCAAGCGCTTTTCAGAACATGCCACACTGACTCTTCAACTGCCTAGCGACCAAGCTGAATTTGTCTTCATAGCTATGATGCTCTGAAGAGGGCAGCTGAGCACATTTCTCCGACTCGAGAATTAGCTTCACTTGCTCCATGGCCCTCTGTAGCTTCGCCTTGCGATGCCCACATAGCGTATTGATGTGTAATAGTAATATTGCATATTGTCCCACACATACATATGAGTCAGTCCTGGTATATGATATATGTACGCAGGCCCTCCAACAGTAACAGGCGTTTCGGGAATGCAGGAATGACAGTCACCTTTGGGAGGGTCCTGGGTTTCGAAACTAGGGATGTCTCAATACATGCGTGCCGTGCCAATGGCTGGACCTGGAATTCGCAACGGAAAGGGCGATCTATTCGGAGTGGCTGAAGGTGCCAAAACGTATGCCTTCTTCAAAGTCGGTCAATTCAAAGCCGCGCAAGTCGCTTCGTCAAAAATCTAGTATCCATTGAGGTCTGGCAAGATCTATGGCTCAGGAATCCGGACATACCGGCAAAACAACCATGTACAACACCGAAAGACCAAATCAATGGTGTTGTGGGTCTAAATAGTTCAGGCACACCACACCAATGAAAACTCTGGCGCAAACAAACGTGTATGTACAACGGCTTTTGCAGTGTCCACCTCGAATTGCGACGTCTGCAGCGCAACCGCCATGGCGACAAAAGGGCAGAATTCAATAACGATGAGACTCTACTCTACTGGTCGGAGTAAAACCCTTTGATCCAGAAATCACCTCATCGGCACAATCTGAAAGGAGTCTGAAAATGCAAGACTCTTCTTTGGCACGATGAGTTGAGTCAGTTCGATCAGTGGAAAACACTTGGAGAATTGGCTCAGAATTTGAGTGAATCTCGTGACCTACTATATATATAGAGCCCGGAAATAGAAAAAGTAGATCCCCACTAAAAATGTATTGGACACCGTTTCTATCTATTTGGGGCCCACTAATCGGCCCACTATAGGGCCTATGGTGCCTATGGCGGTTTGTTTTCCAGTACCACCGCACAAAGGTCTGGAAGAGCTACTCGGGTATGGATTGAATGAACCTCTATAGTGACGGAAGATCTCCTGTCAATTCTTTAGCCAAATGAAAAGAAGGGGGAACACAAACAACAAACAAACAAACAAACATTCCAAACATTTCCAAACCATATTGATACAGTATGTGTCGCTGAACATTGCGCCCCGAACTGATCTGGAGCAAGTGGGCATCTCCTGACCTCCAAATGTGTGCCTTTGTAGGCACAATTGAGCTGCATCTCCTGACTCCCAGAACAAGTCGTATAGACTCAGTCGACCTATTTCTCGGGTTTCTCAGGCCTTCATCCGCCACTTCTGTTCCGTTCCTGGTCCGGACCTGCAAACGCACGACGCTCCGTTCGGGACCTGCAAAGTGAAGTCATCACCCTCGGGGCCGCACCACAGCAATTCACCCCCCTGCTCTGGAGACCTCGGGGAGAGTTCTGATGCGCTACGAGGTGTTTTCGATGCGTTGGAGGCTTTTTCGTTTTCGGTTTTTGGAGGTCTTTTTGAACGTTTTGGCTCACGCGACGTAAGTGTCAGGGAGCCTAAGAGTCATCATCTAGAGTCTAGGCTTGTGAAGCCACAAGAGGTCATTTCAATTCCCACCCAAAGATTCCTTTGACCGCCTGGAAGTTGAACGAATCTTGCCCGAGGTGCCAAGAGCTGACCAGGTGAATGGTCACGGCCAAATATCGGACCTGACGCCACAAGACTTGGTCGGGACACCCAACCAATAGCAAGTAACTTATACAGTGTACGAAAACTATGGTGGGATCAGAAAAATCTGTCTTGCTGATGGCGAGATCTGGGAAATAAGTGTAGCGATCAGGTGAGAAAGCCGCCGAGTTACCGAGTTACCTCAAAGATTTCCAGGCCAAACCACCAACCACCTTTTACCGCTTGGTGTACCACCGATGTGTTTAAGTGAGACTCTGCCCATGCAGGACCACCTGAGCATCATCTGCGTGCAGGCCGTAGAAATCACCTTCGCGGAGCCTGGTGAAAAGAGCGTAAAAGCGAAAAGGGAGGATCAAGTGCAGGGGTGCTTGGCAGAAGCAACACCGAACCCACCACCAAGGCATAGTGCTACAGAATTCTCAAACGTATCCAACCTACCCGTGTCTTTGCCAGGAGGTTGGGACAAATGACTTCTTGATTACAGTATATAATATCTATACACTCCCTGAAACCAACATGGAAATGGATGGCGGGCCCAAGGGGGGTCTTCCATGTTTGAACAAGCCTACCCATTCCATCCAGGACCCCCTTGAGGGAGGGAAAGTTCAAATGTAAAATCTCCATCCCATCAAGCCAGGCTAAGCCAGGTGGTCTCTGAAGCTGAAAGCCCCAAAAATTGACCTGGCCACCGCACAGACGAGGAAAAAACCTGCTTGTTACACCAAATGGAGAAAGTACCGAGTACAGTCTCCATCCCTGAAAGCAAGCGAGCTCAGCGTGTCATTGAAAACCACCTTAGGAGTCGGACGGAAGAGCCGACTCCTAAGGGATTCCTGGATCCACAGACCAACCACGCCCAGGTGCCAGGACCAAGAGGGATCATAGCCAGTGACCCAGCTGGGTATACCCGACAGCCTGGGGCGGCCAGGAGGAACACCGACAAAGGGAGGCGCGGCGCTTGTTGTAGGAACTGAACTGATCCAAGTGGAGAGTGTCCCTGACATGCCGTCCATTGAGTCCAGAGACTTCCACGGAAAATGGCGAAGCATAACATGTCCAAAAAGCACACAGATCTCAAGCATCAAATGCTAGGAGCTGCTGCCAGAAGTGCAGTACTGCCGGATGTTGCATCGCTTTCTGGAAAGCCGAGTACCAAGCGTTGTGCTTGTCGCCTTTCCTGTGCCATGGCTGCTATTGAATCTCATGCTTCCGAGCATAGACACAACATATTCAAGATCAATATAATTACAGTAATACAGTTTGCAATTGTTTTGCGCAACTTTATTATACTTTAATACAATGCGATTATTTTTGCTGATAGGATCTGATAGCCAAGTCAGGTCACACCCTCTTGCCAATGCAGATTTGGTGTACGCCTCCAACGGCCCGGCGAACCAACACCTCCACGGGCTTGCGGCTCGCGCTCGATCAAAGCGGCCCGGACCTGCCCACCAAGATGTGCCCGGTGAAGGCGAAGCGTTGCGCGCGCTTCGCCTGGAAGTCGTCCACGACGCGCTTGCAGGGCATAGCTTCCAACGGATCCCAGTCATCTGGTGGATCGGCCAAGGGGCCTTCAGTCCTCGGGGATCAACTCTTGAGATCAGCTGGGGAGTGGGAATTGATGGACATCTTTGACATTCTTCTGTGACCTTGTGTGACTTTAGTGGTACCAAATGGATCATTGGGTCTCTCTAGGCTCCCCTTTGTGGGTATAGAAAAGGAAAAATCACAAACCATCCGTCACGTTTGTTACACATGACTTTCCACACATGCGACTCGGAGCAACCCGGGCCACCCAAAAAACACAAACATGAGTCACATGAGCGGAAACATGGATTTACATGGCCACCTCGAAGCGTAAAAACCTGCAAACTCTTACCTCCCCCTGCGTTAGGAACCCTAAGTAGCCCTACGACACTGCTATGATCACTTTGGGAATGATGAGAACATAGTTTCTGGCCCTACAGTACGGAAATAGGCGCAAAGCAAACACATGAAACCCGTGAATGTGGATCTGCGATGATCTGCGATGATCTGCGGGTTCCTTTCAAATCGCCTCATGTTAGTTCATGTGCTGCATGCTGCTTAATGACTACCCATAAAACACATTACAAGCAACGTGCAGTTGGTTGACAGATTCGACCTGTTTAATGCAATGCTGAAGCACATCGACGCAATTGAACTGGAGATCGAATAACTGAAAGCATTGACGAACTAACAAGCATGGAATCTGAAGTAATCAAACACATGCTCACACAACAATAGACAGGCAAACAAGTGCAATGTCGCCGGCACCCTACCAGGCCCAACCAACCACATACTATGATACAACAAGGACTCAACCAATCATCTCTCACATGGTCGTCAATCTTCAACTGGGCACGGTCGACCGACACGTCAGGCATCAATCGCTGAAAGGGATAGCCACTCTCGTCTTGATCATCTTGTCGGTCACTCAGTTGCTGCATCTGTCCCAGCCTCAGCCGGTGTTCGAAACCTGCCAGGCTATGTCGCGCAACACGGCCAGGCTATGCATCACTCAAGTGAGTAGAAGAGATCCTAACCATCAGGTCACTCCCCAGGTCACCAGCGAGGAGTCGGGTCCTATAACTGAGTCGCCAATGGACTGAACCATGACACATCTGCCAACATGACAGTAGCTGGTGACCCAGATGCAGTGACAGCATGTGACTGCCCATTTTTGTAAAAGGTTTCCAGTCACACGACCTCATATATGATATTCCTCTGGGTTCTAAATGAAGGCAGGGGGTAAGCCCCTCCAGTCACCTAAACACTCAACCCTCACTTGTTGCGTCCTCAGCTCAGCTGAACATCTTCAAATCGCCCTCGGCCCTCGGCCACGGAGCAAGGCTTCTGCAACCGGCTCGAAGAGGAAGTCGCTGACGACGAAGGGTTGGCCATTTTGAAGGGCTTGTCTCAGGCGCTTCAGCAGCCTGATTCATGTGAGGTGGATCAGCTGTCTGTCATTTGTCGAAGCTTTGACAGTAGACAGGCTGGTTTCTGAGAACTTGACGAGCATGCAGTATGCACAGGTTGAAGTCGCCTCTGACCGAGAAACCTCTCACTCGTCTAGAAGGATTCTTGCCGCCGGCATTGGAGTTAGAAATAGCTGTCTTTAGATGTTAAGCCAGGGGAACATCACCAGCACAAGAGGTCCATTTCGAGTGCGCGCTACCATATCTCTGCGATGCTCCAAGACTCTTTCGATCGTTGCTCCAGTGGGCATTCAGAACTCCATGAGGAAATGTCCGGGGATAGGAAGCGCCGTCCTCCTTCATGTGTGCTTCGGCCTCCTGGCACTGGTTTTGTGCAAGAAAGGTCGACGGTTGGCTTTGGCAGGTCATACAGAAAGGGGTCAACGCCACT